CCTTTTGAACTGTTCATCCGAAGTCAATTTCCTAATCTGAGACCCAACTAAAAATACCTTTCTTTAAGTTTCTCTTCTCAAAGAGCTAGGAATTACTCACATAGATACTTGAAACAGTCGCCATCTTTGTCTAAGGCCTTTACAAACTGCTTCATCAAGCTCAGTTTTATGTGAAGTGGAGGTAATAGGACTTTTTTTTTGTGTCAACCAAACTTTCACGTTCAATGTTTTTCGATCCTGGTATCAGGCCGACTCTGGGTGGCCATTGCTTCTTTATCCAGTGCTGATTCTGTGCTCTGCTGTCCCATTTACATGAAAACATGGAAACCTTGTATAACCAGATTGTTGACCCAACAACATACAAAGAACTTTTAAGTCTCCAACCATGTTCTTTGTATTTGACCTTGGTATTAATTCAGCATTATTGTTGCAATAAACCAATGAACCTTCTTGCGAGAAGCATGGTATAAAGTCTTTCTAACGATCTCTGTACCAGTAAAATGAAGTCCCTGGAGAAAGTAAGTTCTTAGCCCGAAGTCTGGACCCCAAAATATCTGAAGAATCCTTTGGAAGGCCCAAATATCTCACCAAATCATTAAGTTCACCTTATGTGGAAAGTTGTGGTTCACCAGACGTTTCAGGTTTAAAGCAATCCCTATCATCATTTCTATTGACATCAGATGAAACTGTATCAAGAGTCTCTGGTAAAGCAGGTACATCAGGTCCATGAGCAACAGATCTTATAGCAGGTTGAAGGTTCGGATAAGAAATTTCCTTTTTATTTCCAGCGTTGTAGCCTTGCACGTTACATGGGCAAAAATATCAGTCATCTCCGTGGTTTTTAGGCTCACACCAGACCATTGGAATTCCAAAAGGCAAAGACTTTTTCATACTACTAGTTTATTGTCTTGACTCTTCGACACAAATGGTGCAAACTTTGTGCGGAGCCCATGATTTGTCTTGGTCCCCAAATTTTATTCCAAAATACGCGTAATATGCTTTTTTTTGACGAATTCTGTAATGTTTTGCTTTTGTTTCTTTACAAGAAATTTACCACATGTCTGGCCGATTTGATATGCTCTGGTATTGAGTAAAAGCCCTTACAGCAGCAGTGTATAATATATTACGTACACAGTAGAGATACTTTGATATTATTATTACTGGGATCCTATATAAGGTCCTCAAATAAAGATTTGTTTAAATTTATGATCAATCTTATTATTATGAAATCACGTAAGTTTTTATCTATTTTAAATCGTTTACAAAAAAATTTTCTTGACTATATAAATTGAAACTGGAGGCAAAAGAAATTTTGAGACAGTACTATTCTCATGATCTAACAGTGCTACACTAACACAGTTTTGTTAAGAAACACAGTGTCGAAAGAACTAATTTGTAATGAAGCTGCAATATTATGAATTTATACTAATGATTAGTAATCTAAAAATAAGAATAACATCGTCTACAGTTCATATAAGTATTGCAGTAGTGTAGTACTCTCATTAATGGGCTCCTTTAAAGCACCTGGTGAAAATTATTCAGCGTCCAATCCATGCAACGATAATAAATTAGTTATTTCCTTCTTTAACATTTCTACAAATTTGAGCATTTGTAGGCATGAGTTACAAGCTATATTAACTAACGTAAAACAAATCAACTTGTTTGTATAAAGTAACCGTGATAGCTATGCACACTGACTGGTTCACTCTATATCTTAAAATCACCCTCTTTCACTATATTTCAACTGACTCCCTAACTAGCCTAACACCCCTTCCTGGAATGCTGTATTTATAATCAAGCTTCGAATGTGTTAGAATACCTTACATCACATCCGTAGAGTTTTTTAGATGTTTTAAACCTTTTCTTCAAGACTCTCTTCAGTCAACATCCAAAACACAACATAAAAAATATAGTCTACAATACTGCCATCTTCCTGGATTGCGAAATCCCATGAAAAATCCTAATGAAAAATAACTACCCTGAATTGTCCATTCACCAAGTATTTTTGACGATTTTCCCTTTCAAGGTCCGTAGTGTATGGATGGGATGGCATCTTGTCCCTTATAGTTACTGACCGTCCTGTCTCTAAGGAAGATCTTTCTGCATAGGTGGTCTGGTAAATCCACTGGTGGCTCCAACCTTGATTATTCTCTGGAAGCAGTCTCGACAGGAACGCTAGGCTCCTCTGTAAATTTGGTTTACATTGACATACTTCAAAAAATTATCCCAGTGGATAATCTTTGGCTTAAATTGCTTCTACTCCAAACATCTACTTAACACAGAAGTTTGTACCGTCTTTTAATGAGAACTGTTCAGCCATACCATACAACAATGATGGAACCCAATTTTATCAGCCCTTAAAGCATAGGTGCCTTTTTGCTTTATCACAAAGTGATTTCAATATTTCCTAAGTAAAGGCATGTACAACATCTATACTCTTGTTAGCCAGGAGCACTCTTCCAATCACCAATCTTCCATGACATGCTTGACCATTTGGTTCTACTAAACGACAGTCACTAGATAAAGAATTACTGCTATTAACTCCTAATATGAGTATCTCACTTCAAGGTGGTACAATGGCCGCTGTCTTTGTTCCCATTGGACTTTCAACCTCTGGTGTAGTAATTGTCATGTATTGCACAGAGATTTCATATAATGTTATGTTGACTTCGTGTCTATGTCTATGCATCAATTCAGTTCAAATATGCAATATTTTATCCACGCACCATGAGGTGTAGAGAAGGTTTCTACATTAAGAGTAACTTCTAGCTTTCCTTTTGCTGGTATCTTGTGTCCAACGACTGTTTGCATCGCTCCATCTTTTTTCTTCATCTCTAAAGGTAATTATCCATCTTTAAATAATCAGGACGAACAATTGTGGCTATAGAATTAGAGTCAACCAGCATACCGCAAACTCTTCCATCAGTTAGTTCATGGACTCGTGGAAGATTTTCCTCAGATAATGAACTTCTTAATTACAGTATTTTGGCACTTGTGTATAAAGTTAAGATTATAAATAATGTTTATTGTTAAACTGGTACACAATTAAAAATATTTTATTTAGGCTTATCTATGGCCTTCAAAAAGTTGACGACTCTACATGTTTCGACGTTACAACGTCATCCTCAGGTATTTATATACCAGTTTAACGTTGAATATTATTTATGATTTTAATGAACTTCTTTTCACATTCGTGGTAGATTAAATATTTCCAACTGAACTTCGTCCCATAAATCCATATAACTTCTGTTTTCTTATGTCTCATATTGTTCTTTTAATCTGGCTTAGCTTTGTCTTTTTTGACATGATAATAGCTGTTTATTCCTTGCAGTCTCGACTGTAATGGATAGGTTTTTCATAATTATAAAGTTACCTTTCCTGGAATTCTTTAGAAACTCCTTTTCCATACAGGCCCTTTTCCTGCAATTCCTGGCAACATATCCCGATTAAATTATACTTAAAAACATTTATATTGTGGTTTATTTCCTATGTTCTATTTAACTAATCATCTAATTAATTCTTTCATTTCTTCTAGGCTATTATATGGGGAGTTGATGTTTCAATATACTGTTCGATTTGACGATTCCCTAACTTTGAGATGGTATTTTTAGTTGTTTATATTCAACTTTAGCGGATTATAGTTTCACCACCAGCTGTAGAGTTCCTTTTAAAGACATACATCTACTTTTCTCCAGCTTGATCCTCACATTGTCGTCTATTATAACATCTATGTATCGGTCACGTGTCAAGGAATCTATCATTTCACAAAGAATGTCTGGGTAAGATAATTGGGCAAGCCCTTCCAAACTTCCACAAGTTCAGCTAAGGTCTCTTTTTTCCTCTGTATCATATTTGGAAACTTCACTTTCGATACTTCTTTCTTGTGTGATACTCCAAACCTATTGGGTAAGGTGGCTACCGATGCTTGGAAATTGTTATGGCTCTCAGCTAGAAGGATATTTAATGTTGTAAAAGCAGATTCTTTTAGATTGACAGCAAGATGGATAGCTCATTTTTCACTACTCCACCTGTTCACTCTGGAAGTTATTTTAGACTGAGCATGGTATAAATCCTATTGTACTTTCCTATCGTATTTCATTGGTTTCTTGATTGGCCAATCTTGAAATGGTCAACTAAGTTCTGGAAATGGATTTGATAGTGTTATTTAGTAACAGATAACACTTCAGTAGTGGCAATAGATGTAAGCCAAGTAAGTTTTGTTATTTCATATCTCGTAACAAATGATTATTTAGGTTGGAACTCTTGAGCAAATGCAGAAAGAATTGCGGCTGATTTAATATTTGCTTTTAATAATTCATTCTTTTGTTCTTTTCTATCTTGTTGATGTCTTTCTTTGCTTTACTTTTGACTTCGTTAACTTTATCATTACAGCCTTAGTGTACTACTTCAATTTTGTCATTACAACCTTATTGTTGTAACCTCTTTGTTCATCTTCAATAGTGTTCTCAATTTTGTCTTCAATGAGATATATTTTTGATCTAATTCTTTTTTAAATAGCATGTCTTGTAACTTCTCTCTTAAAATTCCTGTCACTTACTTATCATTCTTCTCTTAATTTTCTTTAAAATTCTTCATAGTTTATTCCTTTAATTTCCCATTTCTCTCTTCTTATTTATGTCTGCGGGCTTACAATGCTAGAATCCGGGTTTCGATACCCGTGGTGGGCAGAGCACAGATAGCCCGTTGTGTAGCTTTGTGCTTAATTACAAACAAACCCTTTTTATATTCTGTCTCCCTCTTCTAATTTTTGTCTCGTTCTTCCTTGTCTTCCTTTAAATTGTCTTCTAATTTAATATCCCTTTCTTCTTGGTCTTGTTTTAATATTTTTTTCATCTCTAATAATGCTTGGATCTCATTACTTGACCTCATGCTCAGTATCTTCAACAGTTCCAGTTTAATGCTAAAGTTCCATTTTACTTCTAGTTTAGTAAAGTTTGAAGACGGCTTGAATGGGTAATGAAAGAAACTTTATTACAAGTAACAAATGTACAATATTTCGACAAGCTTTGTCATCATCAGATACCTGATGGTTTATAGAAAACATACAGAGAGTAGTATGTACTTCGGATATGGGAGCCTTATGATAGAACCTTACACAATAGTAACAACACTGTAGGACTATTGTCAAGATGCGTGTTTGTCAGAGAGAGCATGCTTGGTCATGACAACATAGTGTGTAACAATGTGGTAAGACTCCAAAATCACTTTAAGTATCGGGTGTCTCAAAAACTGTACATGTGGCCCAAACAAAGTGCAAAATCTGATAATTACCAAATAATGAATGCATTTATTTAAGGACCAATGATGAAAGCTTATGTTCCTGTAATCCCTTTTCACGCCACATGCTCAACGTAGGCTCCTCGTTTACCAATAACAACTTGCATTCGGATTGCCATATTGTTCATCACTTCAGAGAAAGTTTGTAGGAGATGTTCCGAATTTCGCAGTGGATATTGTTCTTGAGCTCATTAGCAGTCCAAGGCTTGGGGTTGACATAAGTTCTGTCTCTTAGATAATTCCATAAAAATAAGTCTGGAAGTGACAAGTCATGTGAACATGGAGCTCATTCCATATCTCTGGAAGTGACAAGTCAGGTGAACATGGAGGTCATTCCATATCCCCAAGAAAGAGAAATCTGTATTTTTGCAAATACTTTAGATTGGATATCAATTGGATACAAATTGATATCCAATTAATTAAATTAAGGCATTGGATATCAATTGGATACAAATAGCACATATGTATAGTGATGGTTATAGGGTCTCATTGTTGGAGGATTGGCCAAGTTGGTATTATGAGGTTCTTTATAATGAGTATATTATTTTGAAACATCACATATCACTTTTAAATTGGTAAAAGAATTCAGCATAAACAGGCGCGCATATATATAACCACATTTTCTTCTGCTTAGCACTGGATAACTTTTTAATTTTTTAAAAATTTTTACTAGATTTTCCCACCCTGCTAGCACAATCCTTACACACAGTGTCACCCATAGGATGATACAAAAATTTCCCATTCATGCCAGAAGAGCCGAAAATGAATAATAAATATTCCCAGTGTCTGTCTATGACTTTGTGTCAGCTAGTGTTGTTTTATAAGTTTTATTTAAATAATTAAAGATCATAAACCTAGATCTGTAGTCTGTATAACAATATGAAATATGATTTTGTTTATTTCCCAAATTGAATTTTGTTGTTATTTTGCTTGTACGCTGTTCATGCACAGTTCGCTATTTTGAAAAGTGTTTTCCATTTTTCCTTAAATATTCCGGAGTAAAAGGTATACAGTTACGTAGTATTTTTTATTGGAATTTACTTGTATGATTATCTAGACAATAAATACATACATATATTTATTCAGTGCTTGCTTGTTTATTTTTATGAATAGAGCATTTTTAGCCAATACTGATTGTACATAACCTAAGGAGAAAAAAACATACTAGGCCTATTAGCAGTTCTAGCAAACAAAGCACATATAGTTTGCATAGTAGGTAAGAAACCTTTCAAATACAGCATTTTAGTCTTTATTATTATTTAGTCTTCAACAAGTTCTTGAATTATAAGGGAGTCTAGATCATTACTTTGTACTCCCATGTGCGAGGCTCTCGTGTATCAAAAAGTAGTTCATGATTTACAAAAAATAACAAGCGAAAACATGATTGCAGAACGCACTGCCTCATATGATCAATCAGTCTAACACCACATATTTTTTTCAGGTATTTCATCTCCAACACATCCACTCTTTTCCTTTCCTTTGCATACAGTGATATATATACACAGCGTGGTCACAAGTAAATAGACACCACCTTTTCAGAAAAAATGAAAATTTTCAGTCATATTCACATGAATTGATATATCTATAATTTAATTAATATCTAGTAGATCTTCCTTTCGCATCGTGAGAATCATCTCGTCAATTTTAGATTGTGGGATTTTCGCCCACTCTTGCTTCAAAACTTGGAGTAGATCGCTTTTCGAAGTTGGTTTTTTTGGTTGTTTCTTGACTTACCGGTCGATTATGGCTCAGAGGTTTCGATGGGGTTCATGTCAGGAGATTGGCTCGGCCAGGGCAACATCTGGATACCATTTTCTTCCTGCCACTTTTGGGTGTTTCCAGCAGTATGACACGGTACTCCATCTTCCTGGAACAATGTTGTGTTTTTGTCCACGAAACCCGAGGAATAAAGTGGCAAGAGTTCTTCCTCCAATATTTCGACGTATTTCGCAAAATTTATGTTGCCAACGCACTCCACTAAGCTCGATTTCCCATCAACCCAAACAGCTTCCCAAACCATCACGCTGAAACCACCATGCTTCACAGTTGAATGCAATCTGTTGAACCAAAACTCTTGGTGAGGCATTCTCCAGACCCATATCCTTCCACTGTCCGAAAATTGAGCGAATCTTGATTCGTCTGAGAACAATACGATCTTCCAAAAGTCCAGAGGATTGGTCATCATATCACTTGCCCACTTCTTTCGTCTGACTATGTTGGCAGGTCTTAATAAGGGCTTCCATCTAGCTGCTCTGCAACGATAACCCAATCTGTGGAGAATTCGTTGAACAGATTTCAGGCTTATCCCACCAACTTTGGCCACTTCTGCAGTCGTTAATCTGGGATCCATTTTGATGCTCCTCTTGACAGCCCTTTTTGTCCTCTTCGATGGACCAGGACGACCCAGACGTTGCTCAAATGTTTCCTTGCCGTGTTTCCTGAACTGCACGATGATTCTGTTGACAGTCGAAAGTGGGATTCCCAAATTCTGTTAAATGTGCCGCTGACGTATTCCACAATATGCTTGACCAACTATCCTTCCTCTAACAAAATCTGACAATTCGAGAGAATCTTGAGTTCTAGGCATGTTGTAGCACAAGATAATTAGTGTGCGGACCATTTTCATTTATATAGTGCTCTGTGAACACAAATTGGTTAGAATAAATCAGTTAAATGACGAAAAATTAGGTGTCTATTTACTTGTGACCACTCAGTGTATGTATGTATATATATATGTCTATAATATACATAACTTGAATTGTGTCTTTTTAGGAAATGAATCTCGACAAATGGTTAAAGATGGCAGTCTTGGCACCACAGCTTGCAATCCCACAGCTGATCCAAACAAATCAATTTCTGAGTTGTCACATGGACGTACCCGAGATGCTGAGTCAAATACTATGACAAAATATGTAACATGTCAAGACAAACGCCAAAGCATCCCTGATTCGGTCAAAACCCTACCAGCCAAATACCTCCAATTTGAATCTAGTGTCAAATTTATATACATTGGCATCTTAAATTTTTTTAAAGTTAATACTTTTGGCGACCATCTCAAGGAATGGATACTTACCAGTAAATTTGTTGCTGCACCTTCTCGACAAGGCCCCTATACGAATGTGGCAAAAACAAAAGACTATATTGCACATTGTGTGCCATTTTCGCTTCCAATGACTTTGCTTTTGTAGGTAAGTGTTTTACTGAATGGAGCAATGCTAAAAAGGCAGTTACAAAGCATACTCAGTCTCAGGTTCACTTCACAGCAGCTGTATGTGCATAATCGTAAACGTGTGTAAAAACAAACAATGGAATGTTGTACAGTGTCTATCAAAGGAATAACATGATAAAGTGGATTGTACCCACAAATACTTTCGTTCTATCATCAGTTGCATTATTTAGTTTGGGTAGCAAACTTCCCACTTTGTGGATATAAATACAATACTAGTGCTTTTCACGCAATCCTCAATTTTAAAGTAGAAACTGATGTGCATCTCCAACATCACTTGTAGAGTGCTCCCAGAAACGCCACAAACATTAGCCACCATACCCAAAACGACCTCATTGACTTGTGTGGTCAACAGATTTCCAACACTATCATCAAGCAGGTCAAAAACTCCAAGTATTACTCCATCCTTGTTGACGAGAAAGCTGATTTCAGCAAAACAGAGCAAGGTACCATTTTCTTACGATACTTGAATACTGGTGATTTCCAAGTATGCATGGACTTCATATGTTTCATTCCTACAAAGGACGCTATTAGTGCAACGTTCACAGATTTAATCATCACACATCTACAATAGCTGGGATTACATTTGCCTAATCTTGTTGGAGAGGGATATGATGGAGCAGCTAACAAGAGTAGGCATGCACGTGGGGTATAAACATGCATTCAACAGCAACATCTCAATGCCATGTATATACATTGTCGGAGGCACAACCTTAACTTGGCCATTGGACATTCCTACAGTTTAATACTCATTTGCAACATGTACGACATTGCCAGTAAAATTTTCAGCTTTATCACAGTTTTGCCAAAGTATCTCCAACTGTATATAGATCATGCAGTAGGCACCACCAACAAATGCCTGAAACCCTTCTGCCCAACTCAATGGATTCAACATTCTGACAGTGTAGCATCCATCGTCCTAAGCTCCTCACCCATCCTAGATACTCTTGATACCATCCAAGTTGGCTGTGACACATCTTTCCAAACAGATGCTGCCTCATACTTTGCATCAATAATAAAACTGTATTTTGTTATCTCCTCGTTCCTTGCAGAACAGATGCTTCAACACATGCATCTCTTATGTGACTCTCTTCAGTCAGAAGCATGTGATTTGGATAAATCATCTGAACGGTCTGTTCGACTTGAGGAAATTATCAAAGAGAACTGTAATAATGACACATTTCATCAACTTGGACTGCTGCATGTGATGTCACCAATGCCAATGATATTTCAATCTAAAAACCACAGAAAAATGGCCAGCAGAGCAAGTAATCTAACATTTCTGCTGATAATCTCCATACTATTGGAGACTTAACGCCTTCATTTGTTTCGTCAATCATCTGATCAGCAAACTTCAAACACGACTTTTTAAAGCTTTACACAGACTAAAGCCCTGTATCTGCTCCCTTCGTACATAAAACAGTTGCCTTCTTCAATGTGGTGTGACATTAACTCAGAATCTGTAGACTTTCTTCCCTCTCTAGAGTGTGCTGACACTGAACTGACAGCATGGTGTTCATTGATCAATTATGGTGATGTTTCAAGTGATGACCTTTCTAGTGCACGCAAGGACTCTTCTACATTCTATCCAAACATCTACAACATATTCAGGGTTCTTCTCTGTATACCATTGTTGACTTCGGCACCAGAACATACATTCAGCATTCATCTTCATCTTAAAACATACCTTTGGAGTATGATAGGTAATAATCGGCTAACTAGACTTGCTTTCATGAATGTTCACCAGGATGTAAAAATAAACATTGAATCAGTCTTTAGGACATTGCCTTCCTCTTGGAAAATAGTAAATCTATAAATGTAATTTCTTCTTTTAAATTTTTAAAAAATTTGTCTAATGTTTATATATGATTTGTACTACACATCATTGATTTTTTAATAGTATTTTGTTAATAAATCTGAACAAAAACATGTGTATCTTTTTTGGGAGTCTTCGGATATCACTACCTACACATATATCTTTCACTCCAATTGCTAGCCTGTTTATTCACATTAAAAAGCTAAGGATTGTTATAGGCCACTGCAATGGGATTGTAGAAAAACAATAAACATTATGTTATTGCTGTATTTTGGAGAGATTAAATAACTTTTAGTATAATTTTTACATTAAGTGAATAACTTTTACACTATTTGTCCATTGAAAGTTAAGATATTGTTGCGTCTCTGGTCGTTTGTTAATTTCCGGTATAAATTCTTCCCGAGAAACTTTAGCATACAAGTCCTTTCTTAATTAAAACTAGTTTATTATTTCTCGATACAACTTTATAATACACAGAATTTCCACAGTCATTTTAACTTCAACACACGCTTTAATTCACAACGATTCACGCATTTTACTTATGGTCACTACCGCTCACTTGACTCGATTATCTGTCTCTATATCTCCCTGTCTGCAATTCTTATCTCCGCTTTATTTGCCGGGCTTATATATACAAAAATAGAGAGCGTCTGGCAAACACTCGAGCCTTCATGATCCTTCTAGAAACTCATCACGTGACGCTAGTAACACGTCATGATATTCTAGAAGGATCATGTCTGTTCGTAGCAACTCTGGTCTTTCTACGCGCCCTCTATTCTTGTATGTAAGTGCGCCAGATAAAGCGAAATTAATTAATCAGAATAGAATTGCAGACAGACAGAGACGGACACTTGAGTCAAGTGCGGTAGTGGCCGTAAGTAAAGTGCGTGAATCGTTGTGAATTCTAGCGTGTGTTTCAATTAAAGTGACTGTGGAAATTAAGTGTATTGCAAAGTTGTGTTGAGAAAGAATGAACTAGTTTTATTTAAGAAAGGACTTGTATCTCTGAAGTTTCTCGGAAATAGTTTATACGGAAAATTAACAAACGAACACAGAGACGTAACAATACTAAACAATTTGGTTAAGAAATCTACTAATACATTCATTAAGTTTAGAAAGAAATTGCAGAAACATTCAGACAGTTAATGTTAAAATAAAAGCATACTGTTACGACAGCGGAAGTCACGTGACGCTGTGAGCATGCGTGGCGAATTTCTCGAATAATCGGGGAACTGCGCGAATGTTGGAGACGCCTCTTTGTTAGTATATAAGCCTGGCAGAGAAAAACCAGGGGATGATAAAGCGATCAGTAGTTACGGTGAGTTTCGGATAATTTACGATTCTGTTTCGAGCTAATGTGTGTTTTGCACTCGTAGAGAGCGAAGTTATCGAGATTGTGAATCGCTGTGATTTATAGCGCGTATTATAAAAGTTGTTAAGTTTAAAGTGACGAGAAATTGACTGACTGTGGAATTACTGTGAACTAAAAGTTTGTATCGAGAAAGAATGAACTGGTTTAATCAAGAAAGGATTTGTATCGCTGAAGTTCCTCGGAAAGAATTTCTACCGGAAATTAACAAATAAGCAGATACGTAGCAATACTACATTCCTGGGTTTCATAGCGCTTATTCACATTATAACAAAAGCAACTATTGCTAATGTTCCTGTTGTTTACAGAACATAAATAAGTCTACTAAGATCGTGATAAAGGTGAATGATTAAATATTTTTAATACTAGAACTCTACAAAGTTATTATACTTGGACTACACTGAACATCAAAATTCCATAAGATTTCATACATTTATATTTCGCACAAATCTAGTGTGGTACACCATGGTAGTATGTGTTTGCTACCCTTTTAGTTAATATTATAAATATTTTACATAAACACTTAATAATTTCTGTTTTTATTTCAGTTCATTTTAGACACAAAAAATGTACGTAAGTGCTTTTCGTGATTGATGTATTGTGTTTGAATTGCAGTGGACGATTGGTTTGTTTGATTTGTTTTGAATTTCGCGCAAAGCTGCAAGAGGGCTATCTGTGCTAGCCGTTCTTAATTTCGCAGTGAAAGACTTGAGGGAAAGCAGTTAGTCATCACCACCCACCGCCAACTCTTGGGCTACTCTTTTACCAACGAATAGTGGGATTGACCATCATATTATAACAGGGATTCTAACCCACAATCCTCAGGTTGTGAGTCAAGCGCTCTGGCCATGCCGGGCCCCAGTGGATGAAGGTCACGTTCTTAATAAGCGTTTCATGAGCAATCTGGCTTAGTTTTTCTATTAGTACTTAAAACCAGGTTCTCCTTTGTAGCTGCCTGAGTAACTGTAGTTTAACTCTGGGGGAGAGAGAACGTAGATGTTATCATAACTTTATTTTCATTTTACTGACCTGTACACCACCTTTTCCAACTATTTATTTTGAAGTATGTTTCATATTGTTACGTCTCCGTTCATTAGTTAATTTTCCGTAAATTCGTTCCGACGAAAATTTAGCGACACAAGTCCTTTCTT